TAGATGGCGAGAAGTGGAGGAGATGTAGATAGCTGGTATGTGGAGGGCATGCAGATAGGAAGGAGTTTACCAAGGAATCGGGGTGGAGAGGCAGATGCTCAGCAGTGGAGGAGAGGGAGGAAGACACACCAGTTCAGCAGTGAGCCTGAACAAGTCTTTGCTCCTGTACTCTTTGGGCCTGGCTCAGGTGGGGGTGGAGAAAGGTGCTTGGTGGCCTTAGGCCTTTTCAGCAGGGTGGCTTGTGTGCTGGGCAGGAGCAGGGAGGCAGGAAAAGCCTTTTGGGGACTGACTTCCCAGTCTTTGGCCAACCTCACCAGCAAGCCCAAGGGGTCTTGGGTCAGGGCTGCCCTCCTCAGCTGGAGCACAGGAGCTCCCCCTGTCTCTCCAGGGGTGTTCAGGCTCAGAGTTGACACATCCCTGTGCAGGAAAGGGCCTCATGATGGGGAACAAGTGTTCAGAAGCCAACCCCAGCGAGAAAGCCAAGGACAACAGGATACTCTGAGAGCTACAGAAGCATGAAAACCTAACACTCAGCAATGCCTTGCTTTGCAAAAGGGCTGCTTCAGAGCAGGCTAGGGACTGGCACGACTCGGTGGGTCCATTCAGGCCCTGCTTCAAGTCCTCCAGTTTGTGTCTGTGAGGTGCAGACATGATTCCCAAGGAGTGAAGCCACTTACCTTGTCCCTGATGGCTAGCTCTCACATGTCCCTAGGAACACTCAGAGGGACAGCTCCTATAGCCTAGAGAGTGACCCTGGCCCGAGTGATGGTGTGCCCGAGACCTGCATCTCTGGGGTCCGGGTACCTGCACGTCTCCAATGATGTCCTCCATGGCCACGTCATAGTGGACCGTGAAGTCGGCCATGATGCCTGATCTGGAGAAGGCAGACTGGTCTTGCAGTGTTGGGGAGAAGGTGATGCGGACACAGGTCTCTCCCCTCTGTATCCTGGTGGATGGGGGCGCGTCCCTCTCACCTGTATGGGTGTTTGGGTGGGAGGGAGGCTCAGTGGAGAGAAAAGCCATGGATGGAGACAGTGAGGGGGCCATGTGTGGGGAGAGGGAGAAGTGCATTCCCTGCACTCCCAGCTGCTCCACCAGCCTAGCATGCCCTTCCAGCTGCCCCACCAGCCTAGCATGCCCTTCCAGCTGCCCCATGGCCACTCTGTCGGGAGCCCTGTGGCAGCTCCCGCTCTGCCCCACTCATCACACCCTGTGCCAGACCCCGTCCTCCCTCAGCTCCCCGCACTGGAGGAGAGGGTCTGTCCTTCACTCATGACCCCACCCTGCCTCACTTCCCACCCAACCCATGGCCTGTCTCTGGGGACTCGCATGTCCCCAGCTCCCCCAGGAGCCTCAGTGTCCTCCTGCAGAGGGGCAGTGTAGTGGGTGGTGAGGACAGAGACAGACACAGTGGCAGGGCTGGGCTCCTCTCCTGTCCTTCCTGCTGTGGGACAGGCCAGGCTAGCAGGGATCTCCTCTGGGACACAACCGCCTGGCTCTTCTTCTCCCTCTTCCCCCTGTCACCCAGAATCATGAGAGTGAATGAGCCCTTCAGAGTCTCGTGAAATCACTCACGACTTTTGCTTCTGGACATTTGCTGAACCGGCTGCAAGATCAACTCCTCTGGAATTTTAGTCCAAGACAAGTGTCCATTTAGAAATGTCTCGGGGTCTCCTTTTCTCCAGAAAATGGAGACCTGGGAATTCTGCTCCCCCCTCCTTCCTGCTACAGCTGTCAGGAAGCTTAGGGGCAAACCAAGCCCCCATGCTCTGAGGCGCCTGCTCACATACATTCCCTGGGCTTCCTTCCTTCCAGGGCTCTTTGTTTTGTTTTATCCCCACAGGACTCCTTCTATCCTCTGTTTTAACCTTTAAGGAGAAGGGGGAGGGAGCTGCCATTTTTAGCTTGGGGCTTAAGCATGCAGGGCTGCTAGATTCAGCTGCCCTGTGGGCTCAGGTCCCTGATAGTGCCCTGTGTGCCTGGGCCCTTGTTCCCTTTCTGTGAGCTCTGGTCTCCATAGAAACAGCACAGTGGAGGGGGGGCAGTAGCTCCTAGGTCAGAGGAGGTTGTTTTGGGGGTCAACTGTGAGCTTATGGGAAAAGGCATTTGGGAGCACACCTGGACCCCCATGAGTGTCAAATGAAGGGAAATGATTGCATCACCACCAGTATTCATTATGATGCTCTATGTCCCGTGGAGGGAGAATGGTCCCGTTTTGTTTTGTTTTTTTTTTTTTTTTTTAATGGGTCTTAGGGTGTAGCTCTGTGAGAGAATGACCACTGACATGAACCAGGCCCTAGGATCCATTCTCAGCTCTGGGAAATCAAACCTCTCCTTGTGGTCTTGTGTCATAGTTTTTCTCTCTTTCATCTGACAGATCAACAAAGGGAAGCCTTGCACATTTGGCCCATCTTATGGCAAAGTCAATCCTGGCTGGAACCCAGCTTGCACCACATGCATCATGCTGTCTTTCTGGCTGGGCAGGTTCCCATCAGCCGTAGTCTCTAGTGCTGACAATCTCTGCCAGGGTAGCCACTAGAGCTATGTAATTTCCCTGTTTCTGTCTACTCAATTCTCAGGGAAGTGTTTAAATTGGTTTAGTGGTCCCCGAGTTTGGATGGATATCCCGTTCACTTGAGACTGGTTTAACATGGAAATTTGTGGTCCTAACTCAAGCCTACGGTACCAGGCTCCAGTATGGCAAGGTCCTGGATTCTGTGTTTCCTTCAGATTATATCATGATCGCACTGCAGCCAGTTCTCATATCACACTCCTCCGGATGGGCTTGAGTGCAAGTCAAGATCGTTTGTTGCCCTGCATCTGGCATCACCTCTGCTACCTTTCTGCTTTCCTTCTTCTCTTTGTGGTCATTTGGAAAAGCAGGACTCATCCCCCATGATTCCCACAGCCTTCAACACTGTTAATACAGTACTTCATGATCCACTATACTTTTGCCTGTCAAACGTTAGTTCTTTTTTTTTTTTTTGAGATAGGGTCTCACTGTTTAGACCTGTAAGTCACTATGTAGTCTAAGCTAGCCTTGAAATCACAGAGGTACCTGATTTTGCCTTTTTGTGCCTGGGTTATAGACATGTGCCACCAAGCATGGTTCATTAATTACTTTTAGTAATTGAATCTATACTTTCAGAAGCTTCTATTTCATGCCAAGTTCATATTGACTTCAAGAATTGGGCAGGTAGTGGAGTGCAAATATCTTGAACTCTAAGCAAGTCCCCCTCTCTCTGCTTTGGGAAGGAAATTGGTATAGGTACATTTCTGAAGGATCGGTTTCCATTCAAAGAATGGCATTGTCTTTAGTATCTCATAGCACTGCCCACATACTTGTTTGGTTGTTGGTGCACACTCGGCTGGTCCTCAGTGGAGGTATGTGCACATAGGCAATGCCTGTCCTTTCAGACACCGTGATTTCTACATTCAGCTTCCTCACCAACTGTCCAGGCCTCAGGCTTACCACCAACTGGTACCGGCCCTGATGTCGTTGTAGAAGTTCTTCATACGCGAGGGCAAAAGTTACCTCTGTGCCTGCTGCCAGCCTAGTGGAGATTCGAAATTTTTCTGACTCCCGGTCCCTGGACAAGAAGTAGAAATGGATGGAAAGGGTATTGGATTTCCTGTGGCATAGGGGAATCATTAGATGGCATGCTTCTGCTAAGCCTCATCCTTAACCAACTGGACCTGATCAGGCTTCTGTCTCAATCAAGTCCCTGGGCTGCAGTCAATCATCCAGTCATCTACTCACCAACCTCCTTTCCTTCTTCCTCCTCTTCCTCCTGAACATTCTACCCGGAAAGTGATCTCAAAGGTAGCTTTCTCCCTTACAGAAACATGGTTGATAAAAATCTGAATCCAGAACAGAACAATTAGGGGCTAATGCTTTGTTTAACAAAAAAAAAAAAGGTTTCAATTTACACAAACAATGCTTCTCTCCCTTTAATAATCTCCAAACCTGCCTGATCCTTGTGTTAAACAGAGCTTCTTTATATGGCAACAACTCAGTTTTCAGTAGTAAAATCTAAAGCATTCCTGTAAGATGAAACTCTCCTAGAAGTTGAGAGGAATCCATAAAAAATACAATATTTACACCAGACGAATGGGACTCATTTAAGAAGTAAGTCAATCTAGGCAAGCCTCACTTGTTAACCCAGGCCAGAAAGACAAATACTGCATTTTATTTCTCACATGTGGATCCTAACTTCAAACTTTTAGACATCTATGTTTAACTTGAAGTGTCTGTCCAAGTCAGGAAGCCAGAAAGGGCCCGTGAATGTAGGAGAGGAGTCAAGGCCTTAACGGGATGAGTAGGGCATATGTCCTTTTTTTTTTTTTTTTTTTTTTTTTT